AGAATATACAACTGTAGAAATATATCAGAGGACATTGTGTACCACAGACTCCAAGTTTGATTCATTACCTCAAAGCTTTTGAGATAGTTGGCTGAACATGGGGCTGCTGAAGTATAACACATGAATAATTTATTGAGCTCCTGTTACTAAAAGGGTTGTGCTAGACTCAGTCAAAACGACAACACCTGAAACTTTAAAGAGTAAATGTGGTGTATATCATATTGAGAAAGCAGCGTAAAAAGGAATAACAAAAGGAAACATGTATTGCTTGATTCAAGTGGGAATAAGATATTTTGAGGAAAATAAGATTTTTAAGTACAGAGGTTGAATGGGCAATATAATCATTATATAACGTTAAATGAGCTCACAGAATTACAGTTCCTTTACAAATAATAGGCATCCTCCTAAAATATTATCTATAATGAATGCCATCCTTTCTAGATTGCTATATACATCTTGACGTACAGCAATCAAAAATCATGTAATTGTTCATTCTGCCTTAATCATAACAACACAGTAAATTCCCAAGTAGAGAGGTTACTACTGTTAAACTGATATAACTTGAAAAATATTTCTGCTCATTTTCATGCAGTAAGAATACAAAAGTGATAAGAATGATTGAATCAGACCAAAATTTCATAGGCTCAGAATTCTGTCTTTCATCATGATTGAATAAAGTTTCCCAGAGAAATATGGGAATTCCATCTCATGAAATTTCCCCAGTTTCATTTTTTTGGGGAAATGCAAAATAGCATTGCTTATAGCTACCAACTATTCTTTACATGGACTCATAAATGCTTGATGTGAGTAGGAAATTGTTAAGAGTTCCAAAAAAATGATGAGATCTGGGGAGATTAAAGCAACATACAAGAAGAATACTTACAAAAGATGACATGTTGGATAGGATAGAGAAAAGATGGCTGTATTTCTCAAAGATACTGGGTAAAACAGGACCTTAAAGTAGCAAGCAAGATACCGAGACACATGCTTTTCAGTCACAACACAGCAAAGTGACCCACTCTACTATATATTGCTCTTCAAAGATACAATATGATAATACTTACCTGGAGGAGCTGGCAATCAAGCTACCATTACAACCCAGCTACCTGTTTAAATGTGGTGTTCACTACACAGTTATGCACAGCTTTCACTCATCTCAATGTAGTTTATTGCATAGAAGGTAGTATTAACTGTACTGAATCCAAAAAAGACATCGCAGACTAGTGATCAGATGGTATATTGTCCATATAATAATAAAACAAAAACAGTTTCATAACATAAGCAATGGGTCAATTCTAGTCATCATCAACTCAGCAAGGGAAAGTAAAGTAGCTGCTTTTAATTTTCTTGCCTCGGGAACGTTGCCAAGTTGAGCATGACTCCGCACAACAGGCAGATGAAGCATATTCCACTAATTCTTACAAGATGCTAATATTCATCGTCTGCTTTCCAGTGGCTGGCAAAGATCTCTTAGAGCCAAATGTAATTTTGCTGAGTAAAAATTGTCAGACTTTTTATAAGCAAACTCATATTAAAACTGTAAATATAAAATTGTTTTCTGCTCCACATAAAATGAAAAGACTAGGTATATTTACACAGCAGTTTTTAATAAACCTTTGTGAAGTTTTATTTTAGGACAAACTGTGTAGGCAAGAATAAAAGTCTGCAGGCTTCTGAAGTACTTGTTTCCTTGTAAGCCTGGAGAAAAGAGCATTCAAAAAGATCCAGAGTAGAGAAGTCCAGGACCACAGCACTTTTGTCATTTGTCAAATTCTCCTATACAGTTTGTGCTTCTCTTTAATAGGAGAGAAAAAAAGGCACATCTGAAAATGGCCTCAAACACACAGATGAAGAATTGGCAAAGGCTAGATCTGCAAACAGCTCATAATAACAACTTCAGAGAATGAACTGCAACCTTAATTTTAGTAAAAGGTTAACTTATCTACAGTCATAATCTAATGTCATAGCTTAATGTAAAATCATGATGCAATTTTTTAACTATGTAGCTTCTCCAGAAAAAAAAGATATGAAGGAGTATAACTACTTACAGTTAAGATTATATCTCTATGCTAGCATTAACAAATGGCAGTTGAAATAAATATCTGCAAAGGCTGCTCAAAATAATGTACCAAAGACAGCATATTCAATCTACTGCAAAGTTTACTTTGTTGTTCTGGTGATTCACATTTTCCATCTTCCATTTTATCAGTGGACCTGAAAGATATCTTTTTATTGATCCAGTTCAAGCTTGTAGTAAATACTACTGAATCATATTAAGACTGAAGAACGTTTTTCAGCTTAAGATCATCTTGCATAAAATTTACTTCCTTTTCTTGAGCAGACAGGAAGAGTGGGTTGCACCGAAAGAGGCCTATAAAGCTACCAGCTTTGGTTTCTCTTCCTTTCCGTACCTAAGAATGAATGACTGCTCATTTACAGCCACCTTTGATCATATCTTCAACTGCAACTTCTGTGTCTTGCTTCCTGGTTTGGTCTGACGACTAGTTTTCAAGAGTATTCTAGTCAAAAGGAAACTTTTCTACACATACACCTCCATAAAATCCTTTCCCCAAAGATTCAATCTTCTTTCAATCTGAAACACAATTCAACAGTTAAGCAAATGCTGGGTTCAGTGAACTCACTAGTGGAGATTCCCCCAGCAAAAATACCACCAACAGAGAACAGACTGATGTATTTCTTCCATCAGGAGACCAGACACACTTTTCTAATGTATTGAAGAAGAAAATGAAATAGAAAATGCACAACTAAGAGAGTAACAACACGATATTGTTCAATGAATGGGCAGGAGTGTAGCCTGATGGGCCGAGTGTGTTCAAAGGAGCCTGTGGTTTGAAGTAAAACCTGACACACATTCTTGAGTCATATCTCATCACATCACCTATTCAAATACTATCAAAATCCTAACCAGTCAACTGAAATCTGAAATAAAGTACTAAAACGGGGAGTACTAAAAACTACGTAAAGCAAAAGAAACTGAACTGTATGGAAAGTTAAAAAAGAAGGAAAAAAAACTACTTAGGAGGTCTAATAATGCTGATAATGAATGCCTTTTAACATACAGATGACTGCATGTGAATCTCAACATACACTTTTTCTTCCATTCTGATAATAACATCTAACATTGCACTTCTAAAATACTAGTACCTAAAGGGGCACTGAAATACAATTCCATTCGCTAATTGCAATAGTCAGTATTTATCTTCTGTGGACCAGTCAGCAGACAGATGCACATCACTCCATAAAAATCCTACTGCATAATGCACCAGATATTTGGAATGTAAGTAGAAATAAAATACTTTAATCAGTTCCAATTAAACTGGGTATATACTTCATACTTTTGATCCTTCCTAAAAGGCTGATTTCTCAGTATCTTCCCTGGTAGTTCCCAAGGCCAAACTCTCTTTTTCAGAAGGTGTCTCCCTACCACATCATGCAAGTTTTCAAGGTATCTCCAAATTATTAAATATTATGCAAGAACACCTATGGTCCTGTATTTTAGGCAAAAATTTATTGGAGAAAAAAAGAAAAGGAAGAAAGAAAGAAAGAAAAAAAGATTGATTAGTATAGCCTGTCAGCTAAAGTCTATAACCACTTGGAACTGTATCATCTGCTATTATTTGAGAAAACCATGGAAGAAGAAAGACATGGAAGAAGCTTCGTTATAAAAGAAGTTCATTAGTCTGTTAGAGGGGCTGTCTTAAAATATGTTTTTTCCCCAATACCTTATGAGCGCAATAAGCAATAGGAACTTTTTGCCTTCAAGGCTAAAATGTGGATAACCTTCTGTTCTTTAATATGAATAAAGATATAAGATGTAATATTTTAGGAAGGTGATTCTTTCATGTGATTATATTTGTGATTCACCCAGAAGACATATTCTTATTTTTTAAAAAACTCTATTTTTGTGTATTCCCTTTTTGACATAAAAATGGTAAAACCTACAACTTTCTACTTTTTTTGATATAAGAACTGTACAATTTTTACATGCAAGAAAAGACAGAGTACCTGAAAATAAATGCCTGTTCAAATTTCTAGAACAGCATTCAAAGATGCATTATATTTTCTATGAGAATCAAAGAACAGAATGCATAAGAAAACAGAAATGATTTTCAAATAAACCTTACAAAAATGTTTTTCTGATTGTTCATACTATTGGGATTGTTTCTTACATCCATTACCAGTATTCATAAGCCCTGTCAAGGACTGCATAATTTAAATGGCCCTTCTTCTATTTACAAACTGTAACTTGCTCTGAAATCTTTGGCACCTAAAATATTCAGGTTTTGTGGAAGCTTTAAAGAATTGTCATTTTTTCATGAAGTTCTGATAACTTGTAGGAGCTCTTCTATAATGACATCCTGAAATCCTTGCAGGATCAGTGACATAACTGGCAGGCATAAAATTTAAGTGACTTCCTCTCTAAAAGTGGTACAATTAACTTAAAAAAAAAAAAAAAGAAAAGAAAAAAAAAAAAAATCCACCAGGCTTCTTGGCAAGGAGAGTTTCTACTTGTTACAGGAGCTTGGAACATTAAGTCACTTGTAGCCAGAGTTTCATAGGAAGATTTTGTGGTGAGCAGTAATAAACTCTGAATAATCATCTAAGCCATAATCTTAAAAGTAAATAATTTGCTATCTTTTTAATGGAGTCAGAGTACACTTCTGATACAGACCATCAAAAATATTAATAAAAAATATATATAATAAGTAAATAAATACTCTACAAGTAGCCAGGTCACTGTTTACAAAAATTGCTTTGATGATTTCTCCATAGCTATTATGATAACCACACAGATAAACAGAAGTATAAACTCTACCAACTGAAATACTATATGCCACTTAGATATCTGAGAAAGATTTTGACCCAATATAAATCCATACAAGCAAATATTCCATTTCCTTGGAGTCTAAGTGTGACAATATATGATGGATGTTTGCAGTTGTAAAAGCATGACAGACTTTTTTTTTCTTTTTATTTACCTGACAGGACAACTTCGACTAAGTCTCCTTCCTGGATATCTGTAGCTGATTTTACCAACTGGAGAATGTTTTCAGAGGTAGGGTCATGGCGAAAGAGCAGAATTTTGTCATACATTCCATAGAAACCGCATTCAGGAAACTGCAAATATAAAACCATAAAAGTTTACTATACAGTAAAATACATAATGTAAAACACAATTAATATAATCAATATTCTGGGAGATTAGACAATTCCTGACATCAGAACTAACCTATAATGTACCAAGATAAATATTTTTCTATATATGACAGTATATGTTATAAATGTATATATGAAAGTATTCTGGAAATGGCTTTTTTCACCCTCTGAGGTAAGCTCTTTTGCCTTTGTTCCTTTATTCCTCTGAATAATAACGAGTTCTGAGTGAAATATGTGCATTTTCTTAATCACTGCTAATACTTTTTTAAAGACAAGTTCCTGGGCTACCTGATCTAACTTGACCTGCTTGGAGAGGGGATTAGACTATATGACCTTTGGACATTCCCTTTAACCTACATTAACCTATGATTCTGTGTATATATTTATACACATATATATATACACAGCCCTGCAGTCCAGAAGACATATGAGTAATTTCTATATGAGTATAGTTGAATCAGCTCCTAGGCATATTGTAAAAAAAGTCATTTTCACCTAAGGGAGAAAACAAAATTCCTAAAGAATGTTCTTGTAGATGGGACAGTTACCTGAGCAAAGGCAAAATAATCTAGATGACATTTTTTTCTGTATAGTCACAAGCATGAGGATAAATATTTCAAGTATTACATACTTAAGATACCATATATATTCAGAGCTAAAACTCCAAGATAAGGCAAATAATGCCAAATAATGCCAAAGAGGCTTGATTTTGGAGGTTACAAAGGTTTGAAATCTCACTGAAGTAATAAACTACTCATACTAGAGCCAAAAGCACTTTTCTTGTTCAAGAATAAGCTACATTCATGCCACAGATTTGAAAGAGTTGCTCGAAATTTTAAATAAATTTGCTTTACTTTAAGCTGTAGTGGGACAGATTCAAAGCTTTCTAGTGGAGAGGTAACCTGAACTGCAATAGCCTCCTCAGTGAGACAGATACCAGGATAGCCTGGGAGATGGAAAAGCGGGTGGTACAAGCACCAAGAGCTACACTGCAGGCACCCAAGCGAATGCGCTCACGCAGAAGCAATGAAAAACTAAAGGTAACTTTCAAAATAGAGGTAGAGGAACTGAATACACTGGATTCCACCAGATTTCAGGCATTTTCCTCCAAGTTCATTATGACTTAAATTGTTCGTTTAGTCTTCCTTTTTATTCTCACTCAACTCGCAGTTTTCAAATTATCTCTACTTTTTCTACGTAAAAAAATCATTTTCTATATAAAACGATACTTCAAACTATACGTTTATACGAACACATGTAATAAATCCATTATATTTTGCACAGATAAATTCAATTCCAAAATATTTTGGTAAATTATATATAAGAATTATCTTCCGGGTTCAAGTTAGTTCTCCCCAGATACACTATTCTCATGCCAAGAAAGCCATTTTGATAGTGTGATTCTCCAAATAAAACATTGTGTAAGGACCAACTGTTGCAACTGTGGCAAAGATATTCCCTCAGCTAAGCTTATTCCTGCCAACAGTAATGTTGACATGCACAAACAAAAGTAAACAAAAAGCAGCCACATTGCTTAGTACTAAAACATAAAAAAATAGCACTTATTTTTGCCAACTACAAGACAAAAAGAAATACATATATGTCAAACTACCTATAAGCTAATTACATGTAGGCTAATTTTACACTGAAGAATAATTTTAGGTACTGTAAAATCTTTCAAGAAACAAGGTGGTTAAGGGATGCTGTCTTTTGTTTTGTTTTTTCAAGACCACAAAAAAAACTTTCTGCAAAAAAATTGTAAATGATATGTAGATTCATGAGTGAATGTACTAAAACTGTATTTGGAAATTTAGAAAAATCAGAAAGACTTATTGCAAACACATACAGTTTAAAAAGAGAGCTTTTGGAGGAGAAGAGCAAACAGCATAAAAGAATTAGTGAAAAAGACTCCCATGACAGCACATGAGAATAAATGGCTGATCAGGTACATTCATGTGACAACACTGCCAACCAAGGGATCACGGGTCTTAAATTATTAATGAAAGTTGTGCACTGTTTGAACAAACACATCAGCAGAAGAGTACATGTTCTTTTTTAATGAGACTAATTAGATACTTAATGCATTTTTTAATCCTCTACAAACAGTGCTGTTTTCTAGTTTCATAATTTATAAAATATCTATCTTAATACAAGTCTAACCCCAATTTAGATGTTATTTATTTATGATTTCCCAAATAAGAAGGAAGAAATATTGTACAACATGCTTTAAGACATTTAAAAACACACACAAAAATATTCATTTTAAGGAAAGATTCCTGAAGACACCCAAGACTGCAGAAAAATTGATTCAAATTAAACACTAAGATTTTGGAAAATGTGTATTTTAATGAAAATTTTTCAAAAAAAAATCAAAAGAAAGCACTATTATTCTTCTAGTTACCATCTAAAAAATGGAATGGAATTACCACTGGAGACAATATCTTGCATGCAAATAATAGTGAAACATTTAGGAGTCTTATTTCTCTTTTCCAAAGGTACACTTTCAAGTTTGTTACTTAACAAGAGAGGTCAACTCTTCAGAGAAGTATAAGTTTATTAGAAGTATTAGAAAACATTTTAATCACAGAAAGTAAGATTTAGCCTAGATACACAGAGTCCCTATCGTAGACTGGTGCAAATAGCAAGAAATAATCTGTTTCTCCTCTCCATGGGACATAAAATAAGGATCACTAAATGTAAAGCAAAAAAGGAGTATATGACAGGGAATTATGCTAGATACAAAAAAAGCTTTGCAGGGATGACACTATTTAACAGTTCTTACAGATTGCCGAAGTATGGCATAAGTATATATATTTTTTTAGTAATACTGATAGTAACATTTAAAAAATGAACTCCAATCCATCACTCCAATGAAAAGACAAAATCCTGACAGTAAATAAGCACTTTGTTCACCTGGCCTAGAACTTCGAGGAAGACCTGAATTCTGCTTTGAATTGACTTATACCGTGATGACTGATCAATGTGACTACTTTTATATAAAGCACATGCATATAAATCTACATGATAACAGATTTCAGGCATTAGTTTAAAAGAGCACTCATACAGATGAAAACTTGTGCTGCAGTAGAGTCCAGTTGATTTCAGAGAGTTTCAGAAGGAAAACTAACTTAAACATTATCTTTGTTTAAAAAGAAGCATTCATGGATGGAAGACAGTGATTGTTCAACATTTAAAAAAATCTGAGAATACAGCGTTCTGGATCACTAAGTTACTTATTATTTGTCAATTTTAAAATGGAAAAAAAACCCTATTAACGAGTTGGATTTCAATTACTTTTGCTGATAATGATTAAAATTATGAATATAACTCATTTTGTTGTTTGATTATGGATACTCTAATTCTGTTAGTTTATTAGCTTTTGAATGATTAATATCCATAGAATATAGCTGCAGTTATCATTCATAGGCAATGAATACTACTTTACTACTACTTTTACAAATTATATCTCCGCAAGAAATGAAATGGGCATAGTAGAATTGCGCATCTCTTTATAGTAACTTCTAAAAAAAGTTTTAAAAGAAGATAATGTTGTAGTAATTTGTTAGTGAATTTAAGGGATGTGGTTCAATAGATGTGATTATATTAGAGAGGTTTATTTCTAAAAAAAAGAGACTTAAACATCGTTTTTCATCATTCTCACTCTTTACACTTCACTGATGCTTGTCTCACATTATGTCAATAACTCCTCCTTGAATGTACTGCAAAGTTACTACATTAAATATGTATATCTGAGAGAAACAGAACAGATTTTATTCCAAACACTGATCCTTAAAATTACTTAAATTACTGACTGCACATTTATTTAAGACATGTTTTGGATCATATTGCAGCAGCTTTTGTGGTAGAAACAGGAAACAACATGAGCACTTGAAGTCATCTGCAAGCAGATTAAAGTGAGGTGCCTTTTTTTTTTTTTTCTTTCCTCTAAAATATCAGTTAGCTTTTCTCCAACAATTGTACTTCAAAAAAGCCAAATAGCTTTTTCAGACAAAAAAATCCTGGTCAGGATCTCAAACAGTAATCTTGTATTGACCAGTTTGTGGGTGCTCTGGAAAGGCAGTAGATTATACATAAGCACAGGGCAAGAAGAGGCTCAGCAGATATCACAATAAAAGGAATAATTCAAATACTTTTACCCTTAGCAAATGTAGATATCTAAAGAAAAAAAAATGAAAGTCTTCATCAATAACTACCTAAAAGCCAAATGACTATGCAAATTCTGAATATTCAGTTAAAAAGACTTCAATGACATTAAAAAAATCTTGCAGACTCATATTAAATATTAATAACAAGAACCTTTCAGTAATTCATTTATTCTCCCAGTAGCCACTGTATTAATCAATACTTTCAACAAGGCATGTCCATATACATAAAGTCCCATGTCATGCTATACAGCATTTTACAATTGTGCTATCTTATTGATTATTCTAATCACAAAATAATGAAAAATAGATTCTGTTTAAATCTCTTTCCAGTTCTGGCCATCAAATGGTTTTCTTACCATTTGCAGTAAATGCAGTATGCAGTATTTACTACAGAACTTTAAAAGATCTGGTATATCTAAAAATTAGTATGATAGTACATGTTTCCGATATGAACTGGGAAATTTGCAATAGTTTTAGTCATATACATAATTATTTGAACAGAAGAAAAAATTCAGTCTTCCTCTTTGCTTTAGCGAAGTACAATTTCTAAAACAATTAATCAAAAGGAAAGTTGAGACTGTCTAATATAAGTACACTTCTCTTATCAGTTTGGTGTAATAATTATATATTTGGGAGATTATCACAGTAGATATCTCAATTGAAAAAAAAACTGCTGAGAAGCAAATTTCTTTCAGAGAAAGGACGTTCCCTGGAGAATCTGGAAAACATGTATTATAAACGCTGATGCTGCTTCCAGTGTAAATACTAATGTAAACCAATAGCAGAAAATCATGCTTTTGTGAT